GTCGAGATTAAACTGGGAGCTAAATGAAGCCCAACAAAACCATTTCTAACCCTCCTGAATGTTTGCAGGTCAAACACGGGGACCTCTCCCTGTCTGCCATCTGTCCCACAGGTTGTGAATGCAGCATCAAAGTGCAGCTCTTTGAATAGTCTGCTGCCTTCAGGTGCTGCTGAGCAGCTCTGACATTGGAGACACCAGTCAGCAGCAGCACAGTGATGTGTTCAATGTCTGCATCTTTGTCACTTTCTCTGACGTTCAAGTCCACTGCCAACAGCACGCTAATCAAATGATGCATTTAAAGACCAGACCTGCTGTAGGTACATCAAACACCGAAGATGTGAATGTCAGCAGCTGCTCACCGGAGTGTTTGTTACACACAGCGAGGTGCAGACGTGTGTTGTGCACGTCACTTCCTGTTGTGTTATGTTTGACACCACCTAACCCTAACCACCATCTCCTGGGAATATGCTTTGCAAAATAAAGGTAGAGAAAAGGTACAGTAAGTGAGCATACATCTGACTCTACATGTCATCTGTGTGTTATTGTGCTGTTTTATTTTTGAACTGAAACTATTTAACTTTAATTATTGTGATTTTATTCTACCTATGTAAAGTACTTTGGTCAACTGGATGCTATATAAATACATTTGATTGGACTTTTCACAAGTACAATATAATAGCTTTACCCGTCATTGTGTGTTGTTTCCATACAGAATCCGGCCTCACTTTGTATTTGAAACGAGGTGTAGCTTCAGTGTGAGCAGACACTGAGCACAAACAGGCAGCAGCTCTTCTCACCAACAGCAGATTCTTGTTGCACGTTATTGAAAAGCTCACGTTCATATTAGGACTCGGTTTCTCTGCTTCTGTTTGTGTTTAGCCTTTATAGTTTAGTGCCAGGTTCGAACAAAAAAACAATCTGAGATTAAAGTCGGAGAATAAGGTAAAAGGGTGGCAACATTACCAGATTAAACTTTCTGAGAATGAAGTCGTATTCTCATGATATTGTAATAAATTATCAGCAGCTCTGCCAAAAGGCAGGATCACTTTAAATGTTGATTTTATGAACATGTGGAGTTGACTTAACTTTACTGGCTGTAGTTGGATTTATTTTTCTTTCTTGACTTTATTTATTTATCCCTGGATTATTCTGACTTTGATCTCTGAGTTAAATTTCTCTTTATTTATGTAACGACGCACTAAAATGCTGTTGTGGCTTAATCCTCCTTTTCTGTGTGTGGAGGAAAACTCTGGATGGATGTTGTTCTCTTTCCATCTGAGCGTGTTGGATCGTCTCCTCCGAGGTCATCGTCTGTCGTGGGAAATGAGAGCTCTGTGTGTTTCTGTGTCGAAGGCCGGTTTGTTGCCAGCGCTGAGGAAGCGCGCTGATTGGCCGCGAGGAAACAATGTGGTCTGTGGCGACTGTTTCTCCTCTGAGTCACAGGAGACGTTTGTTTGGACGCTGCAGCTCCAGCAGAAATTTCAACTAAAAAAGCAGTAGAATCCAGAGTAGAAATCCCCTGTAATCTCTCCCCATCAGAGCAGCTCACATTCAGCGTGGAGTGAAGGGGAGAGGTTCAGGCTGACAGCGGAGAGTTTCACAGCAGCTGAATGTCTAATGCTCAGTTCAAAGACTTAGGAGAAAATAGTTCAGGGTCAGCTGCACATTAAAGATCAGAGATGGAACACGTATTCACATATTTTACTTCATGTTAAAGTAGCAGTAGTACACTGTAAAACGTCCTGCATTATTCATTTTACTCAAACTGCCAAAACATATGAGAAGAAAATCTTTGTTGCAGTACTTTAGATCATCAGCACATGGTCTTCTTCTGAGTACTTGAAGGACATGCGTACTTGACTCTTTGTGTACTTTGAGAACATCACCCAGGCATTACCAGTCAAATGTACACAAAGCAGCAGAAGTAAACTGGTCAGTATGGCCCTCTCTGGTGCTGTAGCCGAACCACACCACTACTACTTGAAGCCGTCGTTTGTTTAAGGTTATTGATAAATGAGCTGTTGGTTATAAATGCATGTGTCCATCACATGACTTGCTACAGGCCTTACAGGGGCAGATACTGATACAGTCTGCAAATGTATTAAAGCTCAGAACATGACATCTCTCATTTACAAAAGCCTGGGGTCGGGTGGAAAAGGGTTATTCTGCTTTTTTCTGACATTTTACAGAACAAACAATTATTCATTTGGTCAGTAATGAAAATAATCTAAGTGCAGCTCTACAATCAGCGCTACACACTGGTCTGATCAGGCTTCAACCCACAACAAAGTTTAACTGGTTTTTTTTGTTTTGTTCATGTCGTTACCATTTTTTTGTCAATCAATTAAACACAGAGTGGCAACAATTTATTTCCTACTACTTAAAACTATGTGGCCAGTTGACGAATTGATTAGTTGGCAGAAAATGAACCTCAGCTATTTAGAAGCAACAGTCACCGACATGTTCTGGTTCCACCTTCTTTAATGTGAGGAGCTGATGCTTTTCTTTGTCAGACATGAGAATCAGCTGAGTCTCTGTGGATCTGCTGGTTGGACACAACAAGACATGTGGAGACGCCACCTTTGGCTCTGGAGAGTCACAGTGAGACTTTTTCCCAGTGTCTGACATTCTGGGGATAAACAGATCAAACAGATCATCAGGACGATGATCAGCTGATTGATCAGTGACCCTGCTGGTTGGATGTCCACTCAGTCAGGAGGCTCCTCTCACTTGTATGTCTTTTAATTCTCCTCCGTATGTGGCGTCTGCTCCTTGTTCATTCTAAATCACTCCTTTTCTTCTGTTGTATTAAATTAGAATGGTCTCTCTCTCTCTGTTCGCGAGTGTCTCTCACCCTCCTCTGTGCTGTAATACCCCAGAGAGCTCCAGCAGAGGCCTCCACCTCCCCACTGCTGCTCCTCGGGGACTCAGCACCACCTCTTCATCATCATCATCATCCTCCTCTTTCAGCTGATCAGACCCAGCTCTGTCTTTTTTCACCTGAGGTGTGAAGAAACACACCTTCATTCACACTCCTTTGTTTACTTCACTTGGTCCGTCCTTTTCCTTCCTTCCTTCACTTTTCCTTGTTTTCTTTTTTCCTTTCCCCTTTTGTTTGTTTCTCTTCCTTTTTATCTGTTTGCATTTCTTTCTTTTGTTGTCTTCCCTTTCATGTTTCCCCCATTTACCCTCCTCTTATTTTATCCTCCTTTTGTCTTGTTTCCTTTGTTTACTCTCCTTTTTATTCATCCTTTTCTCATATCCTTCTCCTTTCAGTCTTTTCTTGTCCTTCCTTTGTTCCATTAAATTTCATTCCTTAACTTTTTTACTAATCACTTTTCCTTTTCTTGTTTCCTTCCTTCCTTCCATCATTCCTCCATGTTTTCCTCCTATTTCTTAGTCCTTCCCCCGTTCCTTTCTATTTGTACTTATGTCCTTCCCCTTATTTCTTTTCTTCCTTCCCTGTCCTACTTTTCTCTTTCCTTTCCTTGACTCCCTCTGTTTTACTTGCTTTCCTTTAACAGATTTTTCTTTCATTTCCTTTTTGCCTCATTTCTTTCTTTCATTCTTTTCACCATTTTCATTTCTTACTGTATTTCCTCGTTTCCTTCCTTTCAGTCTGCATACTTCCTTTTTTATCTTTCCTTATTTTTTGTCCCTTTATCTCCTTCTTTCCTTGCTTCATTCCCTTTTCTTTTTTGCTGTTCCTTTTTATCTGCCATATTTCCTTCCTTTCCTTCTGCTTATATCCTTTCCTTGTGGTTTTCCTTCCACTTTGTCTCCTGTTCATTTCTTTTCCTTCCTTCCTCTCCTTTCTTCCTTTCCTTCCTTTACTTTTATTTCCTTCTCCTCCTCATTCCTTCACCCGCCCTCCTCTGTTTATATGTGTGCATTTCTCTCTTTATTTATTTACCATTGCTGCAGCAACCTGTTGAGCTGCCAGTGCCCAGATTGGACGTTTCCTCTCCTGTGGGCTGATGGGAAAACAGCCCTGGGGCGAGAGAGAGATAGGGGAGTTAATCCAATAAACAGATGTTGCTGGTGTTAATGGCTGCAGATTCTTCTTCTCGTTTCCTTCCCTCCTGGTACAAGCATTCATCCCTCCATCTCTCTGTGTCAGCTGCAGCCATTTTGATGACATAAGTTGTTTGAGATCGGTTCTTCTGTCGAGCGGTGTTAAGGTGGCATCTCAACACAAGTCCCGCCCCTTCTTCAGCTGTAACAGATTGTATGGTTACCTGTGTTGTTGGTTTGAAGGTTGTTTCTTCTTCTGAGAAAGAGAGGTGGCCTTTCAGAGGCACTACCCTGAGAAAGTAAAGGTTTAAAAAAACATGATGAAAAATCAAAACCAACTACTGAGAAGACGGCGCCGTGAATGGAACCCACTCACAGGGCCCGACTCCCTTTGGTACAGTAACTGGACACACCGTAAAATGACGCCTACTTCTCCTCAAAATTTCTGCCGTTATGTCTCATAAAACATAAAATGTCATGTACATACTTTTCAGACACGCTCTGTGGGAATGTTTACCCGCAAGTTGCACTTAAGTCAAATGATCACACAGCAAATCTGGAGGTGGTGTTCACCTGCGGTCTGAGGGGCCTGGCAGCTCGTATCTGCCCCGGGGCCTCTTAGGAGGTCAATTCAGCCATGCAGGTAGATGTAATGGACTTCAGTTGAACTGGCTGAAGGTGGTGACTACAGTATGATGCCACGACGCTGGACTCTGATTGGCTGACAGAAATAAAATGAGGTTGCTTACTGGACAGATTTCTGTCATTCGTTGTTGAAAGTAGCCAATCAGGAGCAGGTTGTACAGAATTACACAAAATTCACTTAACAAAGTCACTTAGAGTACTAACGTGTTCCACCTCATGCTATTTGTAAGCGACCCTGAATTTTGTGGTTTTTCATTAACCTACGATTTTTAATGTCAGGGTGTGTGTGGGGCTGCTGTAGCTTTTTAAAATCCAACATGAATTCTGTCTTCTCCTCTCAGGAGGTGCTGCTGAAACGAGCAGCTGACCTGGTGGAAGCTCTGTACGGGATGCCACACAACAACCAGGTGAGTCGGCAGCTGCAGCCTCACCTTTGACCTCCACTGGGGGAACAGTTTCTGCACAGATCACACTCACACAGGAGGAAAGTTCAGCACTAGAGCAGGGTTCATGTTGTTCCTCACCCCTCCCCTGCAGGAGATCATCCTGAAGCGAGCGGCCGACCTCACCGAGGCCCTCTACAGCGTCCCTCGCAGCCACAACCAGTTGCCGTCTCTCACCGGCTCGGCCGCCCACTCAGGGATGATGGGGGTGAACTCATTCAGCAGTCAGCTCGCCGTCAACATCTCCGAGGCCTCGCAGGCCGACCAGGGTGAGAGTCCACCACTACCCAGCATCCTCTGGGGGCAGAGTTCATTAATGTGCAGTAGAGCTCAGTAGACCTGTCAAAAGTTCGCTGTCCTACAATAGAATCCAACAGAGTCCAGTAGAATTGAGTCCATCCAAGTGTAGTAAAGTCCAGCAGAGTCCAGGGGAGTCCTGGGACTGGTCTCTCCGGGTTCTGGCCTCGCTGCTGTATAACGATGTTTCTGAGGAGCAGCAACGCAACAGACAGTCTCTGCAGTTTGATAAGTGTCAGCATCATGAAATTAAAGGTGTTTGTCATAATGTTCACAACACACACACACACACACACACACAGTGACAGAAAGGAACACGCATCTCCTTACCACAGCACTATAGTTTTTTCTGCGTCAGGGTTATTTCATCTTCCTGACTCTTCATTTCTGCTCGTTGTTGTTGTATTTATGAACTGAGAACTTTTTCAGGCCTTGTTCTTGTTTTGTGTGGAGTAACTTTATTCCAAAACATAATTCTGGTGTTAACCCTTATTTATTTTAGTCTTCAAGTCCCATGTTTAGTCCGTGTCTCAGCACTGTCTCACTTCCTGGTTGTGGCTCTCAGCTCCAAACTTACTGGTTCCTACTGCAGATGTAAATCTTTAATACACATCACGAACAGATAGTTTCAATTAAAAACACTCAAACGGCTGCTCAGTGTAGTTTTTATTAAGCAGGAGCAAACAGTGCATGTGCTGGGGACTATTTTCAGCAGCGGATTAATCCACACTTGGCCCCTAGTCACTATCTGTGGCAGCAGGACGGTGAATGGACTGAGTCAGAATCAGTTCCAGTGTGTGTTCATGGTGATGGAGGAACATGTCGCTCAGTGCAGCTCTAACAATTAGAAGAAGAAGCACTCTTCCCCGTGTCTGATGTTTCTTAAGGTTTTACGTGTCGGTAGATGTTGTGGGTTATTTGTTTTATTTTTGTTTTGTTGAGGATTGTCACCCTGCTCACATGACTCTTCCTTTGGGTACCGAGGAGGAAGGAGACGTATTAGTATTATTATGAACTCTGTGTATATCAGGCTGTGATACACACAGTAGAGACATTCAGTGCCGGTCTGGATCTGCACATGGGATTGGTTGATCAGGTTTTCCTTCAGCAGTCACTTCTGCTTCTGTCACAGACACTCAGTAAAAATGTGCAGCAAACAGCCTGTGAATGCATCGACAGGAAGCAGATATCCCTGCTTTTACTCCCTGGACGCCCCCTCCACCTGAAACCGTTGTCTGCTTTTGACATCCGGCCAGCAGCAAACACCTTTCAGGAATCTTTGAGGTCATGGGAAACGAGGCTGATGCAGCAGCTGTGGTGAAAATTCATAACTCTGTAGTTTATGTGCACTGGGCTCTCCTATCTGAAACGTCACACCCACCGTCCTCCCTCTGTCAGGAAGTATGAAGTGGCTCTTTGTGCCTCTCATAATTATCCGCCGTGATTAAAACATTAATAAAAACAGTGGCTCCCGAGCCCAGGCCTTATCAGAAGGAGGAGGCAGGTAATTTACGGCGCTAATACAGAGCAGCTCGGC